GGTCTCAAATTTCAACTACAACTCATTATAAGCAACTTGTAACTCATCAAAAGAATAAGAATCTAATTCATTTAAGTTAAAAGTTGCCATTGAATCTTCTTAGATGGCCATGAGGCATAAGTTGGCTACTTTATCTTCATCACTCCAAGCTGCCACAAATGTCTTCTTCTTACTAGATCCCTTCTTTATGAGGGGACATTCATATTTGACATGTCTCGTTCTTTGACATTCGAAGCACACCGGGGGATTATTCTTTTTTCTTGATTCATGCTTCAGTTCCTTGGAATTCATGAATCTCTTGAACATTTTGAAGAGCTTGGCCATCTCTTCTTCTTCTTCATCGTCTTCATCCACCTCTTCATTTGAATCTTGATTGCTCTCGTTGGTGGATTTGAAGGCAATGCCTACCTCATTCTTCTTCTTGTTTTATTTTTTTTATCTTCTTCGTATTCCTTCACCATCAACTCATGAGTGAGAAGAGAACCAATAAGTTTATCAAGAGTGAGAGACTTTAGATTCTTAGCCTCAATGATCGTCGTCTTCTTCGATTGCCAAGACTTTGGAAGAGAGTAGAATATCTTTTTCACAAGCTTCTCATTAGGGATTACTTCTTCAAATCCATTGAGACCGTTGACAATCATAGAAAATCTATTTGTTATAGCTTTGATGTCTTCATTGGGTTTCATCTTGAAATTCTCGTAGCTATGGTTGAGAAGACTTATCTTGGTTTCCCTCACTTTATCGGTTCCTTCATAAGTGACTTGGAGCTTGTCCAATATTTCCTTGACATTAGAACAAGAGGAGACCTCTTCCATATTCATTCGGGCCTAATGCATAAAAGAGGATGTGCATATCCTTAGCATTGAGTTGGAACTTCTTTTTTTCTCCATCACTTCAATCATCCATCTCACCGGGTGGAATGAAGTAACCATTCATGATTGAGTTTCAAGCTTCTAGATCATTGTCTTGAATGAAGAGCATCATCCTATTCTTCCAATAAGCGTAGTTTACTCAATTGAAATACGGTGGCTTGTTAACCGGTTGAGAATCTTCAATATAGTAAGAGCCGGAGGTCGAAGCCATCTTCTTGTTGGTTGTGCCGGGAATCGGTAGAGCTTATTCAAGGATTGTCTCAAGAATGTGAAGCCTTATAAAGACTTAAGCCTTCTAAGGGTTGATAAACCAAATGTTGGGATTGTTGATGCTCAATTTGGATAACCGAATATTGTACAAGGGGGTGAAAAGGCAAAAATTGTTTAGGGAGTAAGGAGAAAGAAAAAATAGATTATTTTGCACAGCGAGTTATAGTGGTTCGACTTCTCAACTAAGTCTACCTCCACTACCTTAGCTCTTCACTAAGGATTTTCCAACAAATCCATTAATTTGTTCTTTCTTTTTCAAGGACAAAGAGATAAACTTTACAAAACTCCCTAGCTTTTCAAAGTTTCATCTAGAACCAAAACACCTTTACAAGGAAAAAGATGTAAACAAATAAAACCTCTAAAAAGGAAGTTGTTTACAAATAATTAAAGCTCACAAGAAAAAAATATTTACAAGAGAATATGAATAAAGAGTGAAAAGTTATTCTATTGTGTTTGATTACTTGGATAGGTGTTCTAACCCCTCTTCAAGTGTCTTGAACTTGTGTTTATATGTTGGAATGATGTTATGATCGTTTCTATCCGTTGGGGATGATTTCTAGCCTTTTGGGGATGTTTTCTCTGCAAAAATAAATTGTCGTACATAGGGTATCGGTATTATCTTTGTTATTTTTAAATAAAACTAGTCGTTACTAGCCGTTGGGCCTAACGGTATCGATACTAAGCCAATGGTATCGATACTACTATGTAAAGTGGTATCGATACTACTATGTAAAGTAGTATCGGTACCCCTTTGGGTATCAGTACCATTTTTGCATTCTGAAATTTGAGCAATGTTGGTAGTATCGGTACTTCCTAGTGAGTATCGATACTTGTCTTACCTTTTGTATTAGTACCACATGAACAATATCGATATTGTTCATATAATATCAATAATGTAAGAACAGTATCGGTACTACGTATGTTGAAAATTAGTTTGCTCAAATTCACTTTTAATGGACTTCGAATTATTTTTGAAAACTTTGAATAAATTTAATTCAAGTTCAAAAACATTTTGCCTTAAATTATTATATCAAAACATTATAAAAGTAATTTAACAAAAATATTATAAAACGTAGATCATTCAACACTTATTCTATGGTCATGGAAAACGAGCCTTTGTTGTGGGATTTTTTTCATTTAAATATATTTTATTTATTTAAAATTTACATTTGTTGATATTAATCATTATGTCATAATTTGTATATTGTTTTACCTATTAAATATATTATACTTTTAAATAATAATAATTTTTTGATATTTAATTTATTAATTAATTAATTTAAAATAGATGTTTTAAAAATTTATTAGGAAAACAATCATTCTAGTCTAAATACTATTGTTGAAAAATCCTAAAAAATATTGATATGAATTCGAGAATTGAAATAATAAACAATGAGGATATTTCTAAGAGCACTAAATTTTATTGGGACCACCAAGTTCGAGAATAAGACTTTAAATTTAGATACGAGTTCAAAGTTGGATTCAGACCCAATAATCTAATTAAAGTTAGAACTCGGTTTTTGGATTTTTAAAGTATGATAGTCTTAATATATGATTAAAGAAAGATATTATAAAAATATTAATATTTTTTTAATATTTCCAGTAAAGTGTTATCTAAAACATTATTTTTTCTATCGAAAATATTAATATTAGGCTCTATCTAAAATGTTTAATATTTTCAAAAAAGTGCTACATAAAACATTATTTTTTCTACAGAAATATTAATATTGGATTATACCGGAAATTAATTAACGAAATTAATATTTTCGATAAAAAATAATGTTTAGGTAACGCTTTATCGAAAATGTTAAAAAAATATTAATATTTTCAAAATAACTTTTCTTTAGTAATATATTAAGGTTGTTGTAAAACATAACTACCCGATTTTTGTGTTGATTGTTTTAATTATTTTTGGTGGATGTTTATTTTATAGCTGATTTCTACTCATGGATAAACAAAAATTACAATATATCTAATTTTGTTAAAAAGAAAGTACTCGCAATATATATATATATATTTATAATGGAAGCATCTAATCTTGTTTTAAAAATTCTGAAAATACAATGAATGTTTATAATTATAAGTATAAATTAAACACAAAATTATTACATTATTCCATAAACATTGGTATAATAAATTAATCATTTAATATCATATGAAAATCATATAAGGAAAATATGAAAAAATCATAAAAACTCAAAAAAAAATACAAATAGATTTGATTGTAACAACAAACGAACGAGATCAAACTATTAAAAAATTATCGAAAAGCACAAATCAGATTTAAACATAATAAGAAAATTATTTACGAACGAAAATTATGTATCTAAATCTAATATAAAAATTAAAAGTAGAGAAGATCAATAAAATAACATCAACTCGTATCTGTCCAAAATCTGCGCATTTCTATATGTTTTGGATAAAGTTTTTCTATGGTCCTTATTTCTTTTATTTATTATAATTTTGTCCTTTTTGATTGTTTAATTGTTATCTTGACGCATTTTACTTCCAATTTCATCAAATTTGTCTTATTTATTATATTAGCTATCATTTTGGTCATTAAAATTCTATTTTTTAATTTTGTCTTAATATTTTAGTTAATGTATTTATTCGATTATTTATATACATATTAATTTATTTCTTTTTTTAGTATTATTTATCATTGTTAATTATTAATCATATTAATTATTACTAATATTTTATTTATTTTTAAAAACAAGATAACATTCGATTCTTTCAAAAGTACTAATTTCAGAAATAATAAGATATTTTGACATTCTTCATACGTAAGTGATTCCTAAACCTGTTTTATTATGGTGTTAAACGTATATTAAATTTGGAAACGAGGGAGTTTGAACTTTGAAGGAAGTGGTGGCAGCCGGTTTAGATTTTTATTTTATTTTTATTTTGAGAAAATAAAATGCGGGAATAAAGCATAACAGGGGGTTTATCACGCGTTTAACTTTTTAATATTTTTTAATTATTTTTTTTATTGTTTAACTTTTGGTGGGATAGGGTTTTTCTTGTATGGATGCTGTTTGTATTTTGTACTATGAAATTGATTATTCTATATTAATTTTTGACAACAAAATAAAATAAAAGTTTTAAAAATATAAAAAAATATTAAGTTTAAAAAGTTAGAAGTCATCTTTTGATGATAACTTGGGTCACGTGGTGAGTTTTTCGAGTAATCAATACGTTTAAATCATTAAAAATAATATATAATGATAATTTTGTCAACGTATATTAATTGAAAACAATTCATGTTTATAAATATAAAATCTATTGTTAGACCACAACTTATGGAAGTTCCCTAAAGACTGTCCGCCTTGCCTATTCTTAATGCAGAAGCCACAAAGCACAAAAGGCGAACATAATCGATCACGAATGACGACGAAAAAGGGTAATTAAATTCATTTGTAAGCAACTGCCATTTCCAAAGTGTAAATCATACAATAAATTAAATTTGAACAGAAGATAACTCATATACTAATTAAAAAGATTGAAAATTAATATACGTTCAATAGTTTTTCTTTATGAAACATCCACAGTGCAGTTGAGGAATGCTATTATTAGTGTTGCAACATGTCGTATAAATTTCAAAGCTTTGCTTCAGACTTCGGGATATGAGCAATGAAATGAGACCGTCAACTTAGGAATTGATTATGTTCAATTGAATGATATATACAAATAGATCCGTAGACGAATCATACCGGTAGGCGGTAGCCCTGTTGAGCAACTCAACCATTTATGATAAAAGGTCAAGTTTGGGGAAAAGTCTACAAATTTACAGTGAAATTGTCGAGATTCACTGGTTTTAGTTACCAAATTCAACACACCGCCACAAGCATCAACTTAAAACATGGTTATTGCATAAGATAATAAACTCAAATAAAGCAACACTTCGCAGCAGAAGGTTTCTTTAGGAGGCAACATACAAATATTCATATACCTCCCACGCGATATAAACGAGAAATAAGATCATTTATTCGAATAATACCCAAGGCCAACTCATGTATACAATGGCCTTTACCACCCTCCTCTCTGAGAACCGCCGGAGGATTGTACATTTAATCTATCAAGCACAGCATTGAAATCTGGTGGCTGACCACTCTCCTCCATCCTATGAATCACACTGACAACATGATCACTTCTGAAACCCATGCTCACCAACTTTTCAATCAGCTCGCTGTAAGGATGGTTGTGAACAAACTGTGAATGGTTGGGGTTCCCAACCATAATGTTAGGGCCACTGCCAGACTGAGTCTGAAGGGAGGCATTTGATGGGGGATACCCACCCTGTGAGAAGTTAGGCTGTTGGAACGGATGATGTGTTCTGCCCGCTTCACTATCATACGTCATGTATGCATTCCCCTGAGGAAAGGGAGGATTGGAGCCGTGTCCTGTGTACCTATCACTTGGTTGCACACCAAAAGTACCCTTGATTTGCTGAGGTGGTTGCTGGGGAGTTGTTCTGCTAGGCACTCCATACCCATAAGGAATAGTATCAGCACTGCTAGACACAGGTTGAGGAAGTCCAGAATATGAAACTTGCATGGGCATGCTGTTTGGCAACGCTTCTGGCTGAGATGGGTTTGTTGATTGTGTAGGAGGGTAGGAAGGGTAAGCTGGTGTTGATGGGGGCCTCATCTGTGGTTGCATAGAGGACTGCTGCTGTGGTGGCACTTGCTGCGATAATTGTTGAGGCCATTGCTGCTGATACTGAGGGAATGATTGGACCTGATTAACTTGGGACTGAGTAGGCTGTGGTGGCATCCTAGACATGTCTTGTATCTGAGGAGGTCGGTATTGAGGATCAGAAGTTAAATATTGATTCTGAGGGTGTTGTGCTTGTGCTGGGGGTTGTGCTTGGGTGGGGGCGGGAGAAGGAGCTGCAGCTGGAGCTTGGGGGGTGGATACTTGATTTGAAGGCATGTAGTAGGATTGCTGGGTCAAATTCTGAGACAGAGCTTGAGAGGGTGGCGCCACGGGTTGTTGCTGTGATGCTATTTGATGAGGCAGCGCAAGAGCTAATTGCTGGGTTTGGATCTCAGATGTGAGTTCAGACTTTTTGGAATTGGGGGCAGGGTTTGATACTCTCTCCTCGGTTGATTGTGAATGGCTAGAAGAAGACTCCTTCTGTGCAAGTTGTAATTTAGCCAACTCCTTCTGAGTCTCAGCAAGCTCCTGCTTATCTCTTAAGATCTGCACAGACCTGTGGACCTACAATGTGCATTGAATACTCCAGAAGTAATTATCTTGAATGAAAGGAATTCAACACATTCATAGTATTTGACTATGAGTATTTTCTCTCCAAGATAGTTGACCGCAAGATTAAGCCAAAAAATGTAGACTGCGAGAACTTCGAAAACATGCAGATCCATTTAGAATGAAACTACCTTGAGCCTAAAACCCATATTTATTAATGCCCCAGAAATACTTTTTTAAGAAGCCAAATTTAGTTCCAACAACAGAAGAAACTGAAATATATAATTATAACAGCTGGGACTCAATACCGTTCTTTTTGCCATCCCTATAATCATACTTCTAATTCATGCTTGCTCTAATTTAGATGATACATTGGCACTTTCATAAGCGAAGATAAATGTAATTTTTACTTCAAAGCGAAATAAGGAAGCACTCTCTAAAGCTACAAAGTGGGAAAAAGTGCTCCCTTGTCAGGATAGAGTGAAAAGAGGTTGTGTATCTTAGAGTCAACTAATCGATGAAGCCGCCTTATCTGAAAACATAGAAAATAGGATATTGTTCAGGGGTACTCACCTCTTGTAGATGTTTCTCAATAGATTTAAGCTTTGAATCTGCATCTCCATTCCCACGAACTAAATCAGCTCGCATTTCTCCTATTGATCTATCAAGCTTGTAGCAATATAGCTCCAACTGTGACAATCGAGAACTAATTCCTTCAAGAAAGCGCATGAGGTTGTCTGTGTATCTTTTCATGGTTTTTTCAACGGTAGCATTCAAATCTGAGGCGTAAGAATCCTCGGGCTGGCTGTATCCACTAGGTGGAAATACTGATCGGGCCACTCTATGAAACTCCTGCAGAGTAGGTATTACAACAAGATTAATTATTTACTCTTGAAGGAAAAAGGCACCAGTACGCCACTAGCTCGATAACATGATGAGGAAAATTGAAAAGGTATCACTGATTTTTTCACATAATAGATTGGAATGCCAAGCAACCCCAAAGACGATCTGTCTTGGTTATTGTATGCTATCATAAAGGAATTCATCATAGGCTCGATCTAATAGCATGAAAACTTTTGTGGGCCTAAATTACGGTTCGTGGAACTTCAATGGAAGTGTATGTTACATTTTCTTACTCACTGTTTACATAGGGAACAGTAAACACAAATGCTCAGGGTCAAGGATCCAATGCTTTAATAAAGCCTATACTAACATGAGCAAACAAAAACCCGAAACTGAACTTGATCTCCCTCTTCAATAACATTTACCAAACCACGTACCCATAGCTGAGTATTCAATAACCATAGCATGTTATTAAGGTGTGAGTGCTTAATTAATTATAAAAGCTTATCACCCCAAGATAAATGACTAATCTCGGTTCAATATGTCAAGATGAGATTCTTAATCAATGGCAAAACAACAAGGTTTCTAAAAACAAACGAATAGCCGAAGAACCATTCCAAAAAAAAGGAAACGGGGGGAGATAACCTAATGTTAAAATTCATTTTTATACACTAAAATCTTCCTGTAAAATTATACAATTATTTTAAATAAAAAGGGGGAAATTCTAACCCTTACTAAATTAAGGTCAAACAGTCGATCAACTAGATCAAATTAAAGAAAAAATCCAAAATTTGCCACGGAACAATGCTAATTTACATTGCTGAGCTTTTACAATCATACTAACCTCTCGATTAATCCCAAATCATATTAAATTATACCCCAATAAATAAAGAAGAAGAAAAAACCCCTAGAAATAAAATTCCAGTCATACCTTGTCGGAGCTGTTGGGTTCGGCGTGGTTGCCATTAGACGATTCCTGGTTCCCGTAGTCCTCATAAGAGCAAAGAATATCATCGGACCCGAAATCGAACACTTTGGAACCACCCGAGTTTCCCCGACCCGATGATCCAGATGCCATTTCCTCCGAAAATAGACTAGATCACAGATCCAAACAGTAAAATTGCTTTTCTGGCTCTTAATTTCTCTTTCCTGAAGAAAGAACCAAAAAAAAACAAAATTTAGAAGAAATGAAAAAGAAGGTTGTAGTTTTGAGTTGTCTGCAAGGATAGGTATTTTATATGTAAAAAGAGAGAGATAAATGTTATTTGTTTGTTGGAATTAGATAAGGATGAATGATGATCTGACCTTCTCTCTTTCTTCCTCTTTAGCCCTCTATTTCATTTTCATTTCATTTTGTATCTTTTATATTAGACCCTCAATATATATTTTTACTTTATACCTTAAATTGTTTTTTTTTTAAATTTATCTTCCGAACTATTATTTTTATCTCAATTTAATTTAAAAAATTAAGTAATTTGAGAGATAAATTAAAAATAATAAAAGAAATGTTTTTTTATGTGATTGAGGTGTTTAACACTTATTCATTGAGTTAATGAAGATTAAATTTATCAAATCAAGTATGATTACAAGAATAATAAATTTTTCTCATCAAATATATAACGATGCTACATTCTTTGAATATAATACTATATATAAACTTTATTAGAAAGAGTAGAGACATCAGCTTAAAAAATAAAATTTTTTTTTTTTAATAAAACATAATGTCATCATTGTTATATTGGTTTAAAAAATAATATCAATTAGTGATATATCAAAACTAAATAAAAAATAAAATATTATATATATTATTAAAGTAAATCAAAGTTTAAATATAATTTTATATCTAATTAAAATTTATATATCATTTTAATATACATTCTATTAGAAAGAGAACAAAAATACAAAGCACATTATATATTTATAAAGTAATATACCACATTAAAAGATTTGATAAATTTTAGGGCTCAAATCTTCTATTATCCATTTTCTAATTAAGTACATGGTAAACTTTGCTTTGTTCACAAGTAAGTTTCACGTCTTGAACAAGTAAACCGAACCCATTTATATTGTATAATCTTATACTATGGTCATGGAAAACGAGCCTTTGTTGTCGGATTTTTTTTCATTTAAATATATTTTATTTATTTAAATTTTACATTTGTTGATATTAATCATTATGTCATAATTTGTATGTTGTTTTACCTGTTAAATATATATTATACTTTTAAACAATAATAATAATAATAATTTTGTTTGATATTTAATATATTAATCAATTAATTTAAATTAAATATTTTAAAAATTCATTAGGAAAACAATCATTCTAATCTAAATACTATTGTTGAAAAATCCTAAAAAATTATTGATATAAATTCGAGAATTGAAATAATAAACAATGAGGAAATATCTAATATTGGATAAACAAAAATTAATATATCTAATATTGTTAAAAAAATCTAAAAATACAGTAAATGTTTATAATTATAAGTATAAAATAAACACATAACTACGACACTCTTTCATAAACTTTGATACAATAAACTAATCACTTGAAATTATACTAGGATTGTTCAAGAAAAATGTGAACATTTCATTAAAAAATCTCAAAACAAAAAATATATATATAAATAGATTTGATTTAATCAACAAACGAACCACAAAAAGATATAAAACTATTAAAAGATCATCGAAAAACACAAATCAGATTCAAGCATCATAAGAAAAGTATCTACGAATGAAAGTTGTGTATCCAAATCCAATATGAGAATCCAAAGCAATGAAGAATAACAAAATAACAAATAAACATCATCTTGATTTATTACGATAGTATTAAATTCAACCATAAAAAAACGAAATAACATATTCAAACGATAGATAAAAAATATGCAAGAAAATACCAAAAAAAAATTAAAAAAAAATACTCTAAACAACATCATTTTTTGGGGAACTATATAAACCATAAAATAGCATCTTTTCGGGACAGACGACTCGCACATCAACCCGTACCTGTCCAAAATCTGCTCATTTCTATATGTTTTGGATAAAGTGTTTCTATGGTACTTATTTCTTTTATTTGTTATAATTTTGTCATTTTGATTGTTTAATTGTTATCTTGACCCATTTTACTTCCAATTTCATCAAATTTGTCTTATTTATTATAGTAACTATCAATTTGGTCATTGAAATTGTTTTATTTTTATTTTGGCTTAATATTTTAGTTAATGTATTTATTTGATTATTTATTTACTTGTTTTAGTATTATCTATCATTGTTAATTATTAATCATATTAATTATTACTAATATTTTATTTATTTTTAAAAACAATATAACATTCGATTCTTTCAAAAGTACTAATTTCATACATAATAAGATATTTTGATATTCTCTATACGTAATTGATAAAACACATAACAATAAATTAATATCATTTATAAAAAAATAAAATTCATATTAATATATTAAATAATTTTTAAATAATAATAATAATGTAATTCAAATTCATTATACATTTAATTTATGTTTCTCTTAGAACAGTACGCGGCTTTAACTTCATATGACCATACAAACAAGTACGATACTACGAACTTGTCCATGAGTTTACTTAATGCAATCTTCAAATTTTCTTGTCTTAATTATATTAACAAAATGTTATAGTGACTATTATATCATTTGTTAACTATAGGTTTTTAAAGAATTTTGTGTTTAAATTAAATGTTTAATTCTTTTTCGTTATACTTTAGATGTTTATGCTGTAACGACCGTTAAATGATAATATTATCTATAGTGTGTAACTACTAGATTTTTTGAAAAATTTATTTAAAAAATAAAAAGTTATTATTATTTTAGAAAAATACTCATATTTCTTTAAAATTACAAAAAGTCTAAAATCTTAAAATCTTAAAATCTCTAATTTCAATCCCTATTTCGAACCGTCATTGGCCATCTTTGACCACCGTTTCTATTGCTACCCACCCACTAACTAATCATCGTCTTTGTAGTCGTCCTAAACCATTAAATACATAAACATATAAATAATCAGTTCTAAAATTAATGTGTGAGAAGTTAGTTAGAATTTAATCCCAATAATCGAAAAGAAGTGGACAACAAAAAAGGAAGAATTTGGTACAACCAAAGGGAGGGAAAGGGGGACAGCTGGAGAGAGATGGGTGAGGGTGAAGGGGAAGGGGGCGAGGACGAGCATAGGAACATGAGAGTTTTTTTAAAAGTATTTTATTTTTATTTTTAAAAAATATAAACTTGACATATGTCATTTAATAAATTTTTTAACGATCATTCTAACATAAACATCTAAAAATATAAAAAAATTATTTTAAGGTAAAAATAATAACCTAATATTAACTAAGGTTATAATTTAGACATTTATTTATTTTTTTATCATGCCTTGTACAAATCCCAAAATGCACCTGCCATACGTTTATTTGTCTTAAACTAGTAGAAAGATATACCAAGCAAACAAACTCCACTTCACCACGTCATCTTTCGACTTCCTCGTAATAATTGTTATAATTATTGATTGATGCTATCGTCTTGCTTTTAACTTCTTATCACCGACCGACCACATCAAAATTGAAACTTGTCAAATTCTAATTCAACACCCCATGTATTTGGAATTGCTTTTAATGGTATAAAAGTTTAGATTAATATTCGATGTATTTTCGTCTTATACTGTTAGTGTCTTTATATTTATTCTTGATAATATTATTATCAATATATATATATATATATAAGTATAGAATATCAATACATCATTCATAAAAACTTAATTACATATAGAATGTATGTTTCGATGAGACATTATAATGGGCCAAGGCCTTGATTTAAAAAAAACTGAAAATTTACATGAACTCTTTTATGACAAAGTAGACATCAAAATTTTTTTAATCATTTTTAATGGAATTTTTTTTATAAACTTGAAATAAAAATAGGGATATTTTATATGGAGTTTGGTGGAAATTCATTGAAATGCCAAATATGATAACGTGGAAAACTTTTTCCTGCGTTAAAGAAAGATGGGACATGGATTGATTCCGTGGCTTGATTTGGACCATACACGTGCTCTTCCGATAATTGACTTTTACATGATGTCAGTGGTTCATCTCCACGGATTCAACGTCGACGTGATAATGTGCATGAATTAGATGAAAAAGTACAATACTTTTTAAAATTTTTAATAGATTTATATATAGGTTTATTAGTCACATATTTCGAAATTCTCTCAGAAGTTATTCTTAATATGATATTTGGGGTAATTTATTATCTTATCTTCCTTTTATTTCAATATTTATGAAAATAAATGTTAGTTAATTTTTTTATTAGTTACATATTTAAATGTAAATAATTATTTTTATAATTAGAAAACATATATGAAAAATAAAAATATAATAATAGTGTTAATTATGTAGATCAATTATTTCTAAATAAAATTAAGAACGGATTAATCCAGGACGTCAAACTAATTAATAATTTATAGAAACATAGAAGATGGAACGTGCAAAGATGTAATTGCAGCGTAAAATATTCGAAATTACCATTCACTAACCGTGAACCACCCACCCACTATATAAATCCCGTCAAACGCCCAAGTTTTTTCTTCGATTCGTTGTTTCTTTCTTGTTTAACTTCTCTTCCAAGGAAATTACCTTCTTTCTTACGAGGCTTTCGAACAATATTGCTTATCGTCGACGATGAAGATATCAGGCCTCTTTGTTGCTTCCATGGCTGCTGCCTCTGCTTCTGCCTCTCTCATCTCTGCCATTTCTTATTCTTCAACTTCCCCTCTTACTTGCAACTCCAATTTTCAGTTTTCTAGCGAGGTAATCCTTTTTTTCTGTACTCTCTTCTTTTCAGATAAAAATCTGGGTTTCTCCCTATTTTTTCAAGAGTTTTGCCATGTTTGGTTGCCGAGAAAATAATGAACAGGAATTCATGATTTCAATGTCGTACGCAGTTTTCTAATTTTTATCATCGGCATCTTTCTCTGCGTAATTTTGATTTGGATGTTTGAGCGTTTTCCGGTTTTCCATCTTTCCTTGTCTCATGAAATCTTCAAATATTTTTACATGGTTTCTTTGGTTTTTTCTTAGAAGATTAAATCGTTCTCTTTTTTCTTTTTAAGTTTATTAATTTTAGGGGGAAAATAATATTGCAGGAGGAGAAAGGACGAGAAAATTCAACCAAGAAATCAACCTTGACCGAGAAATTTGCGCCCAGGTTTGATGGCTTAAGGTTCATTGAGACTTTGATCACTGCTCATAGATAAATCCCCAACACCACAAGCTTCAATTTTTACCTGTTTTGAAGATTTTTCTCTTTTAATTGTTTTGAATTTGACCTTTTTCGCCTGTCTTAAATTGTTAAGAGGAGAGATGACATTGTAATGTTTCTGGTTTTTTTGTAAATTTCTTGGTTATAAAAGTCTTCATCTAATTTTTAAAATATAATAAAATTAGCTAACCTTATTCTAATAATGGGGTAAGGAGTAGGTAGGGTAGTAAGTTGTTCCAACATCAGGTTAAGAGCAGTTTTTGTGGGAGACTTCCGAATTATAAAATGCTTGATCTTACGACCCAAAGATTAAGAACCTTGTGCTTTACCAACTAAGCTGGATGATCATTTCTAAATTTTAAAATATAATGGTATCTGAATATAATTATATGGAATCAAATTAAAATTGAAACACAAAATTTAATCCAATTTATTAGCCTATTTCTAGTGTTGGGTCAGTGATGGCCAAACTAATATTTAGAGTTGCACATCATTTCATATATATTAATCTATTAATTTAGATTATGTATCGAAAAAATTTACCATAGAGATGATTATCTCAATTTAATTTATTTCATTTATAATATTAAAAGATTTAATATGTTATATCCTTATTCTTATATATATAATATTTATACAATCTTAATTATATTTAATATCGAGTTAAACTAAACCCATAAACGAGGATAAAATTCTATCAATGCAAAATGCTGCCTTATCTTTCTCCACCCAACTGGGTTACATTTGGTGTAAAACCCACCATTGAAGCAAAGGCTTCTTTCAAAATGCTGCGCTGTTATATGAAATGATGTGTAATTCGGTTCACACATTACATCCACTTATGATGGCTATAAAACATAATTAAAAATAGACCTTTTATAAAGATATTAAAGTTCATGATTCAATTTCTCTTTTTTATTTAAAAAATTATATTATTCTAAACATAATGGGCCAAATTTGATCCAACATCACAAGTCAGAGAAAACAATTAAATATCAGTTTATACTTTTTTTTTTGCACAAGATATTAGAAAAACATTCCGCAATAAACGATGATCTTTTAGAAACAAGGATATATGTTCACAAACAAGAAAGAAGATGGATTAATATCCAGATTTGCTTTTGAAATGATTCAAAGCAAGTGAGACAAGGTGAGAAGAAAAGCAGAGGCGAGGATGAGCAGTGCGGGATGAGTAAAGGGCGGAGCACTGGATTTGGGTGCTTCAGGGCATAAGAGACCTTCTTTGTCTTTGGTGCACAAGTTGGCGAACAGCCCCGGCGGGTATTTCCCGTACAGGTTTATGTAACTGAACATGGTGGAAGCACAGTTGTTGCCTTGGTCGTTCACTTTGTCCACAAAAGGGCAGGCGAACTCACTGAGTGCATTGCAACAGCCTTCGCGTGGATACTGGGGTCCTTTGCACATCGTTGTTAGGATCGTGTAATTCTTGTGTTGAAAGTCTTCGTCGCATTCTATAGAATTATGTTAAATTAAAGTATTAAAATTAAATCTTGAATTTAAGTACTAAACAAGATATCAGATTAAAGTGTAAGAATTAATAGGTTGGTATCGAAGGATCGGCTGCTAAAAATGGATATGGGATTTGTGTGCGTTATGTGGTGTGACTGCTGAATCACGTATTATTCTGATATTTGGAGGAGGATTCTCGACCCGTGCAATCGAGAGAGGATTGTGCATTCCAGGGAACTAGAGCTGTCTTGGGCGGTTGCCAATTTAAAGGGTAAATCTTTGCTCACTCTTATCCTCCAAATGACATGGAGTGTGTCTATTTACCTTATATGGAAGGAAAGAAATAGGAGAATATTTTGCAGTTTGGGGGTGGGGGGAGTAGGTTATGTAAATTCTCAGCTTTGTATAGAATGGGGTCTCCTAGATTGAGTATCATGTTTTTATTCGATGTTCTTGTATTCTTATAACAGCTCCTTATAAAACATATTAATTATCTTAAAAAAATATATATACCATTGATGATTTTCAAAACTCTCGAAATATATTAAAATTTTATATAAATTTATAGCTAATATTCACATTCTGAGTTCGGTTAACGCAGAGGATAACGATTTGCAGTGATGAAAGTTTTCAGGGTTTTTGTTTTTGTGCAAAAACGAAACGTACCCTTCTTAGCCTGGAGGAGGATACGCCCAATAGTTTCATGACCTTCCAAGGCTGCTTCTGCGTGCGAATAAAACAGAAAGTAAAGTTGAATTTCAAAACAAACATAATAAATGGGAAATGAAGAATGAAAAGAAAGAGAGAGGAAGAAATACTTGAAATGTGGGTGGAAGAGACGAACCCAGATGGAAGGAAAAAGAAAACAAGAAAGAAAAACGATAGATTTAAACCCATAATGCCTTTTCTTCTCAATTTCTTGGAGATCGTATAATAATAAGTATCGATGGTCTCCTCACCACCCAAAGGCCAAGTCTCCCTTTCTTCTTGTTGTTTCGACTCTGTTTTCCTTCTTTGTTTGCCTGTAATTTTTTTTTCTTGGTCTGTATCTGTTCTTGCCCAATAGAGGGAGAGAAGAGGAGGGGAGGGGAGGAAAATGTTGCAAAATTGTTGGAACAATATTTTTCTCTCTTTTGGACAAAAAAAATCAGTGCTTATGTTTGTTAATTCATAACTTAAATGTAAGATAACAATTTGCTGTTAATTGTTTTTGGTAACTTACCACGATAAAAACGTGAGACTTAAACGTATTCAACTATAGATAATTTAAAACAATTTTATGTTGTAAGTATATATAATTATCGTTCATTTCGATTTTAGTTATTTTACTTTTATTTACAATAATTTTCATAACAATAATAATTAAACTCTAAATTTTAAAAATAAAATATTAAATTTTTAAAATAAAATAAAAAAGACATGGACGACAAGGGCTATCGTCACACCTTTACACAGTCAATGAGGGTACTAATTGAGTTGAGTAGTTCCAATTGGCTCGAGTTCTAGTTCCAATTAGCTCGAGTTCGATTAGATTAGAATTTAGGCAAAATTTGATTTAACTTGATTTAGACCTTAACAAGTTGTGTCACTATATATTTAAAAAATAAAGTCAAAATTATGACAAACATTACGAACAACGAGTCAAATAGAGCAACAAATTCTTTTAAGGAGTACAAGTCAAGCAAAATATTATCAAACTTATTGAGTATTGAGTCGAGCACAAGTCAAACATTTTTTTATTCAAATCATACATCCTTAACTCGTGATCGACTCGGCCAATAAACAACCCTAATCACCATCACTCAAAATGAATATTTTCCTCAAAATACATCTTAATTTTGGCATTTTGAGTTATACAACTCCAACTTACGTAAGAAATTATAATAAAAGAAAACGATTTAAAAGAAAATAAAACATATATTAGGATACTCTCCTTTTTGACTATTTTTAAAACAAAATAAATATTTTTTTAGTAAATACTCAACACTATTCATATTTTTAACAGACCAAAAAAAAAACACATTATCTGCCATATATCTTAAAAATTTCTGATTGAATCAGTATAATATAACAACTCAAATGACAACCAAACAAGACCCTTCTATAAATCAAAATAAGTAGCTGACACAAACTCTGAAGAACTTAGCAGTCAAATATGGCACAGCTTGTCAACTTGACTCTTCCCTATTATCTTATCAGTAGTTATCGATGCGATTGAATCAAATCATATAAACCTATAAAAAAAAGACTGAGAAACTATGTTAATGAAATTGAATAAGAACTGAATACTGAATCAATAAGCAATTCCTTACCTACGTAAGTAGCGAAATTTTGTTTCTGATTGCCGGCATGTATCTCGTTAAATTTATCGGATGTCAACAAATGTCCCTAGAGTGTCTTACTTTACGAGTGATGGACCTGCCCATCCTAAGGCGTCGAGTCGTCAGTGCTTCTAGCAAAACAACTAAAGCATCTTCGACTGCATCAGCCTGTTTATCCAATCCATGGATGCTACACTCTGGAAGAAGCTGCAGCTCAGAAAGAACACCAATAGCTGCCGCCGCAGTACAAGTACGGTCCCATGATGGTTGAGGTCTGCTCTCGAAATATAACATATACTGTTACTATATACTTCAACTATCCAAAGGTGGATGCTGATGAAAAGCTATCGCTTTACAACTTACCGAAGTTTATGCATCGCAGATGCACCTGTGGCAAGGGAAATGCAAGGGAGGTCTTCCTCTCCCAAGACCAACTTTGCTTGCTCCTACAAGTAACATTTCTATATAACTCTCAAATAGCAGTCTCGGAAAGTTTCTTAAAATATAGGATTAGGCTACAATTATACGAAATTATCCTTGAAAGAAAGCACCATATAAGCAAATGCAATTCTACCCGCATTTTACAAAGCTACCACAGCACCATATATTAAAAGCTGAATACGAACTACTAAGGTCAATAACGAAGGCTATACCTCTGTGGCATCTAAGAGTAGAGAGAGAGCCAGCATCACATATACATTGTTAATGATTATATCAGTATAACCCATATCTCAATACACAATCTATTGGCAAAAGGAAATTTATAATAAAATGCTTAAGCCGATTACCTTTAGACGCCTGAACATTGCTGCAGAATTGCTCCATGTACCATCAATCAGAACAAAATTCAGAGGCCTATCTCTATTTGTCTGTGAAACAAAAATCTAAGTTACACATGACAAATAATATAATATTGTATTTTAACCTCTTTTTTTGAAAAGTTGTATTTTAACTTGGATGTGCTAATCCAAGAGCTTTCTGCACTTCGTTTCCATTTCTTTTTTCACCTAAAGTTGTTTCAACTTTCAATCACATGTAAAATATAATCTCGATAAAGTTCAAATATGGAGAAAAGATACTTCATACAAAGCATATTGACAGGAAAGAATTCAGAGAACCGACAAATTTTCATCAATTCAAGTTGTCTTTGGAAATGGCATTAGCATATAAAATTCAATTAGAATCCCAAAAAAATTATATCTGAAATAGGTTATCATCAAGCAGCAGTTCCATGCAATTTTTTTGTGATGTTTGGTGAAATATGCCCTTTAGTAATGAAGTAATTACCATCCTTTAAAAATCAACAAATACTCTTAAATATCATAAAGTAAAATGCAAAGCAAGCAAAATGTATAAAGAGGACAGTTACCAGTACCGAAGAATATGCACATTTCATATCTGCTGAAGATTGATGGTTAAAGGCATCCTGAACTGTCTTTGGTATTGTGTTTTGATTTGGATAAAGGCACCAAACCTTGTCTTTTCCTGAGATTTCAAAGAAAATTATCAAAACACGCTAGGAAGACCTTTACTTAACACCAAAATGTAAATGAAATGAACTTTAAAGGCGGAGCATCTGCACGACAGGATATAATATCTTCACAAAACATTGATACTAATCTTTTGACAAATAATTTACTAGAAGTCCTTGATTCATAATAACAGATGAACAGCACGAAAAAGCAAACCAAAAATTTATGTTACCCTTGGTCAAAAAAGTTCAGATGACAGTTTATCTTAAATGCAATAAAAGATGATTAACACGTAGAAAAGAATGTGATTACACAAGTACAAAGAAAAGGCAAAAATATTTTCATTATACTGCAATATTTCCCCATAAATAAGCTAAAATTCAACCACATGATCCACAATTAATTTACCCCATCAATACTGCAATATTTCCCTTTTTTAGAAGAAGGCTAAAAGAAACCTGCATCCTTAAATGCATTCCACATGAGTTCCTCATCTTCAGAAATTCCATAAAGACACAGAGTTGCAGATTGAACACCAAATACTTGCCATAACAACTTCCCAGTGTTGTTCTGCCGTAGAAAATCCTGGAAAGGGAAGATTACACATTGGGCATATAAAAAAACCATTATTCTATCAACCAGGAGCATTGATATCAATCCGTAAAAGAAAATCCTGACCTTCGGATGCATATACAACCAAAACCTTATACCATGCCATAGCGAGCAAGGCTTGACTTTTGAACACATACAATCTTCCATAGGAAGCCAACACTGAAATTTGGAAAATTCATTTCCAGATCACAAAAAAGTAAGGAAATTAGCTTTAAAGGTTGTTATTCTTCTTTGAAACATATGAATGAACCTTCTGGCATAGGTAGCCCCGACTTCCAAGCAACCGGCATGCTATTTGTCGAGCAGAAAAGAACTGGAACTTCTTGTCTGAGTCACCCAAAGTCTCATATTTAGCTCTATGCTTCTTATCCTCTTGGACTTTAAAATCCCCCTAATTTGACCGCAATAGAGCTTAAGTAATAAAACGCAACAGCAGGCTAATACTAAATGGCATAATTATACACGAAAATAGCAACAATGGAAAGATATGATCACATTTGACATCCATGAAACTTGGAAAATATATATTGTCTTCCAGATGCAGTAACATCTACGATCCAAATACTGTGAAATCCTAATGCTATATTCCTTGAAACATACTCTGATCAATTTCCCATCATTTCAGAGATCAAAAAAAGAAATAGAAAAAGAATCACATTTTCCTTTACATAATCGGGAATAAATAAATCAAAACTAAATACCAAACAAACGTATATATATAAATTATATAAAGATGAATGGTGAACCTGTAATTTGCCACCATTACCGCCAAAAACCATTTGGGCATCAATATTATTCTCCAAAAGCTTCAAATCCTTAATGACGGAGTTTACCATTACTGGTACTGGAGATACGCAACCCCATCCTTGCCACTCCTCCAACGTGATGGCGCCACCGCAACGAGTACCATTTGATTCGGCTTGTCTTGGAGAAGAACGAGAAGCAGAGCTCATGATTAAGCTATTGAGGCTTCTGGGTCGATACTTTATATGGGTTTTGAGTAAGAATCTGAGAGATGGGGAGAATTGCAATGTAAATGTCAATATGCTATAGCTGGCGCTGCTCGGCATGGTTCTTCGGTTGGGTTTTCTCAGGGTTTTTCTTTTCTTTTCCTTCCCTGTTTTTTTAATAATTCGGACTTCGTTACTGGCCCAAACATATTGGTCCATAATATGACCCAATCACTTCAGTCTCTTTAGACTAAAAGTTAGTAGATGAATAGAGTTTGAATAAATATATTTTTATTTATTTTTTAATTTATATGTGTTCATTAAAAATTTAGAATCGTGTTTATCTATTTAATTTAAAAAACAAACAATATGAAAACATATCACAAATAATTTAACGAATGTTTTATTCGGATATAATCTTACACTTAGTGTGCGTTTGGTTCACGTAATGTAAGATTACCAGTATGAATAAAAGATTATCAGGGAATAGGATTACTGGGAATGTTATATTTTGTGTTTGGTTGGTTTGGCATGAATATAAGATTATCGTGTTTGGTTAAATAAATAAAAGATTATTAGAATGTATATTTGACCAAATTGTCCTTATTATATATTTATATAATATTACAAATTGTAAAATATTTATATATTTTATTTAAAAAATTAAATTCATAATATTTATATAATTTTTTTACAAAATTAAAAATATAAAAAATGTTTAATGAAAGGGTAAATTTTTTTTTAAACTCTTGAACTTCATATAAAATTTTAATTATAGATTTTTTTTTTGTAAATCTAAAATAATTTAAGGATAAATTTGTAATTTAACCTTCGTAGAATTTTTATTATTCAATGACAGAAGAATGATTTTTTTTGAAAAAAAAATAAAAATTTAAGGGCATTTTAGTCCAAAAAGACGGTAATGTTACAATACCTAAGGAAATGGAGGTAATGAAATTCTCGGTAATATACCCAAAAAAATCTACTATTGGTAATAAAACATTACCGGAAATGAGATTCCCGGTCAACCAAACATGGGAATGTGAGACTCCCATCCCATGGGTGAGAATCTCACAATCCTTGAACCAAACACCCCCTTAATGTTTAAGATAAAACCGTATTATTATTCAATACAACTTTAATCACTATTAATAATTGTCACGGATTTAAACACATCAAGTATCATTAATGGTTAAATGAAATGTTGTTCTCTCTAGAGATATTGGGTTTAAGTATAAGGACATATTCAGGATTAAACTACGAAGGGAGCACGTTTTTAATTTTGAAATTAAAAAAGTCTTTAAAATTGAATAAACCATAAAATTTAAAGGACTTAAGGTTTAACTTTACTAATTTTAAAATTGAAGGGTATAAAGAGTAATTAAACCAACAAAATTAAAAGTCAAGATTTAATTTTAAAACTAAAAGGATCCTAAAATATAACTAACTCGTTAAATTTTGAGAGGGGCAATGACTTAATTATAATGATTTCAAAAAATATTATAGTCTAAAACTAATTAAACCATCAAAATTAGGGGGACAATTGCCCCTCCCACTTCCAAGGTAGCTTCGGCCATGTTCAAGCTGCTATATCTGTAAATATGTATTTATTATTAATGATTAATAAAAATTTTAAATAAATAATATCTTATAATTATCTTAAACTATTCAAAAAGTAAATTTGAGGGATTTGAGTCCCAAACCTCTTGGGATAATTTTCAAACGAAATTAAGAAATATATTATATCTTCCATTGATATGGAATGATATTAGAGATGAGGAATCACATGTCCTTTGGTTGCAAATTTTCCAGAGAGATTTAGAGATCAGTCCCTAAACTTTTCTTCTTCTTATTGATCTGATCACATCGACCATCTCCAGACTTTTTCATCTTGAATTGGTCTTAGTCAAATTTTTTGTAGTGGTTCTAAATAAATCAAACACTGTGTGTTTGAATTTTGCAACTCTTTGATACGAAAATACGTAATGTATTTTACGTGTAAATGCTCTGACCTCTATTTTTGAAATACATGCATTCATCATTATACGTCAGAAAATCTTTTTAGGCATGGGCATAATTTTGGTGACATGACATGATAGTTTTTAATAACATTTTTAGTATATTTAATATTTAATTGTCGAATCTTCATATTTGATTACTTTTTATATAATATTTAAATTAGTTTAAATGGTTAATATTTAAATTTAATTTAGAAATTCATAATGATTTTTCGACGATATGAATCTATTAGATTATTTTTTTTCAAAATGAAGATATAAAACAAAACAAAACAAAATTTTAATTTAAAATTTCAATTTACTTACATGATTAACCACATAAATTCTATCAACAAGTATGAAGTGTGATGGCAACATATTTGTACTTTCAAGCTGTTCATTTTTGTTTTCTCGTGTTCTTTAAGCCATGAGCTCTAGACCTATTAGGAGCACTCTCATTTCTTTTCCTAGAGGTCATTCTTCCTCTCATTTCTTTAAGTCATGAATTTTTGAAGTTTATTATAGCTTCTTGAAATATTATATAGCCTTTTAAATTATTTTAAACTTAATATTGGTGAAAAATAGTATTATACAACCATATTTGGTTTAACTTTTAACCAACCTCTAGTCTGAAATTCATATTAATTCTATTAGATGTTTAAAATTAAGCACTTGTTTTGATACATAAGTTTTATAATGTGAAGGTTACACAAATCTAATTATTTGAACTTTAAAATCTAAAATTACGATCCATATAAATTTTAGAACTTGAGAATTAAATCTACAAATCATAAATTTTGAATAGGACATATGCCATCAAGATATATAAATTAATATTTATACAATATATATAAGATAGTTTTTATTATTTGTCCAAATGATTTTTTAAAATGGTTGGCTTGACCGTCTATCCATAGCGTGGAATATTTATAAAGACACCTAGCTGTGGTAGATGAGTCTCGTAGCTGAGGTTTTCTACATACACAAAAGCTCGAACTAGTAACCTACTTAAACGATATGAAACTGCTTACCATTAAAACCAATCTCATTGATAAAGAGAGATTACTTTGTAGTTTGTATTAACTCTGAATTTATATATAAAAAATGATACTTTGACCGGCGTAATTCAAGACACAAAAAGTCAACAAGAATAGAATAATATGGTGTGAACAATATTCGGGGAGGTGAGGATTTAGAGAAGAGAAAATAACCTCAGTGACCAAAAATCTCATATAATATACGATTTTAACCAACTTTTTCCGGATTTGCCAAAATGACCAACAAAATCGCAATGCGATCGCTAATTCGCAACGCGATCTCCATTATCGCAAATTCGCGTTGCATTTTCGCAATGCGATAGTTGAAAATCGCGTTGCGATGGTCTACAGTATCGTTGCGATTTTCCCAATTCGCAATGCGAATAAGTAAATCGCAACGCGAATTGGGAAAATCGCAATGCGATACTGACTATCGTAATGCGATACTTACTATCACAATGCGATAATACAAAATCGCAACGAGATACTGACTTTCGCAACGCGATTCTGACTTTCGCAACGCGATTTACATAGCGCCATTCGTATTAACGCGTATTTTTTTTTTCAAATTCCAAACACGAATTTTTTCTTAATAAATCGGAAACTGAACCGTCCACAGTAATCGCAACTCATAACCTCAAACCCAAAAACACAACACTCAGCCCCATCTCCATCTCTCACTCTCTACGGCGAAATCCGTCCCTATCTCCGAAGATTTCCATCCCCATCGCGGGCGAAATCCCTCACAACCATTCACAGTCAAAAATCCCTCACAATCATTCAGAAATGGAAAATCAACCTCCGAGGGTTAGTTTTTTTATTTTTATTTTGAAATTTTTGCATTATTTTAGGTTTTTCATATTGAGATTGATGATAAGTTTACTGGTAATTTCAATAATAGATTAACCATTTCACTTAGATTTCTTATTAAATTCATTCGATTGCTGCCAATACTGCTAAACTGTTTAGCCTGTGAAGTTAGTATTTGTCTTTGCTTTGTCTTTTGGTTGAAGTAATGATGAAGAAGAATAGTTTCGAGAATGAAAATCGCAACGCGGAAATAACTATCGCAACGCGAAATAAAAATTTGCAACGCGAAACCAAAATCGCATTGCGATTTTCATTTCGCGTTGCGATTTTCATTTCGCATTGCGATTTTCATTTTGCGTTGCGATTTTTATTTCGCAGTTGTGATTTTCATTTCGCATTGCGATTGTCTGGTCGCGATAGTCATTTCGCGTTGCGATTCTCTCGTTGCGATAGTCATTTCCGCGTTGCGATTCTCATTATCTCGTTGCGATTTTCATTTCAACCAAAAGACAAAAACAGTGTTGTAAATTTTAGTTTCAAGAATAAACTACTATTTATGTTTATTGTTTTGTTTTTGGTATATCTTGACAGTGTAATTTTTGGTATATCTAACTTGGTATGTTTATTGTTTTTTTGTAGAAATTTTTTCGGCTTCATTGACATTAAGGAATAAAGTTAGCCTAGCCACTACAATTGCTTCGAAGCTTTCACCTGCACAAAGAAAATTGTTTGAAGAAACCTGCTTCGGGCCATGGCTGAGAGTACAGCATCCGGGTGGAGATGCTAGTTTGACCCATTTATGGCTTCAGACCATGACTAGCGATCTACCCGACAGTATACAACGTGGTGAGGAAGAGATATGGTTTTATTTTCCACCGGCGTATACTTGTTTTGGGCGGAAGGAGTTCTGCTTAATCACTGGTCTACGATTCGGACACGATGATGTAGGCCGGTACACTCGTCATATCACCCGCCCATCATGGTTATCCAGGGTTTTTCCTGATGAGTCAATAGAGAAGCCGAACTTACACGTCGACGACATGAAGAAATTGTTTAATAAGAAAGATGGTTTTACTCGGATAAATGACGTCGATGTTGTCCGAGTATGCCTTCTACTACTTTTGTATGCCGGCTTTTTAGGCAGAGAGACCAGACAACCTATTCCTCAGGAGCTAATATTATTGGTAGATGACCTAAATGCATGGAATCTGTTTCCGTGGGGTTCGTATATATGGAAAGCTACCTGGACTAAGTTGTCGTCTGCCTTTGATGACCGCAAAAGTTTGCGGGGCGATGGGTCGAAATACACTTTGTCA